TTTATTTGCTTGTTTTTACAAACTGAGTTTCTAATCATAGACTGCAACTAGTTTTGAACCCAGACCTTTAAGTACTAATTTAAGGATTACAGTCACTAAATATGTTCAATGCTATTTGAGTACAGAAAGACTCATATGCCATGGAGAACAACAGTTTAGTGTGGCTGTGACTCTGTTACACACAAGTCATACAGTTCTGTTTTTGTTACCTTGGTGGTTCCTTTTATTACAAAGCCTGTCTCGAGTGTCGGCAGCCTTGTGACGGCAGTTCTGCAATCAAAAATAAAGATAGGACTGTTACTCCATTCAAGGATGAACTCTTTTTTTTTTTTTTTTCTTGATGGGTAAAGCAGAGAAATAGCCATATGCATTCAGCAGAGCCATATGTAGCCCTATTACAAGATGGGAAATGGGGAAATAAAAGGCAGCTGTAATGATGCCTGATATCCCCCTCGATAGAGGTCTTAAATAGCCCTACCTGATGGCAAGGTCTAGAGAACTCTGCTCTCACTGCGCCTCACATTTACATGTGGCATGTTACATGCAGCCGTTTGGGAAAGTGATGGACACATTCCAGAGCACTTTTCCATCACCCTTCGCTTTCATGCTACATTAGTACTGAAGGTCCAGTTAGTAAGATATTCAGGTTAAAAATTGAAGAATTTCAATCCTTTTTAGTCTGTATGTATATTAATTACCAACTGTAAAACATTACTGATTACATTACACATATGAGGTAATATAATCAAACTACTTTTGGATTACTTTTAGATTACTTTTAACCTAACTCGTTTATCACATTGATTTAAAAATCTTGTACTATATTGATAAAAAAAATACAAAGCGAAAGAAAATGTATTTCATTCATTGTTATTAACAACATGAAGTGCATTAAACTTCATTAGGTCAAGGTTTCCCAAACTGGGGTTCCTAAAGGAACTGCAGGGGGTTTGTGAGTTTAATTAAAAGCTAATAACTAATTAAATCATAAAAATGTCAAATTAAAAATAAATAATTTAAAATAACATCAGTTAGAACACTTACAAAAAAGTAACTGTAGTCCGATTACAAGTATTTTAATCTAATTACAAGTACTGTAATTTGGAATCTGTTCGCTTAAAAAGGTTTATTGGCACTGGCGCTATTTACTGACTTAATTCTCAAATCATAAACATCTTTAAAATCTTTTCAATGTTTGTATTGTTAGTTCATATAATATTTAATCACTTTTTCAGAATCTACTAAATCTACTTAGTATGTATTTATATTATTTTACTAATTATCAGACCAGAAGTGACTGTTGTATAATATTGAATATATTGTACATATTCAATATACCGGCAGCACAAGCGCTGGTGTGTTTGTCCTTCTTTGTGAACAGATGCGTCCACTCCAGTGGTGTCTTTTGGCACTGAAACCATGCCACCGCTTCTGGTGTGTGTCCATGTCCCACCTCAGTCCTGCAACTGTCCTCTGGGCCCTGTTGGACACAGCCCTGACTCTATCCCCCGGTCCCAGGACAGCTTAATTTAGCTCATTTGCCAGCTGCCCTGCACTCTGTGCATTTTTATTTCCTAATTATTATTTGTTAGAAAACCTCATTTCCTCAAGGTGACACCCTCTCCCTGTCAGAGGCAAGTTATTGTACCAGACGCAACTTGTGTAATTAAGCAAATGAAAGCTGTCAGGTTGGGTTGAACCCCCAAAAACCGCACATCACGTTTTGAAGCGAAACCCACAGCCATTAGCGTTTTGCACTAAAATGATTCCATATTTAAATATGTGCCTTAAATTTCACATACAATGCACATGTTTATTTCTGAAAGTCTTTGAATATGAGCTTGCTCTGTTGGTTGTTGGGCCACATAGGAAGAAACAAAATGAGGCACCAGTGCCGACATGGCTTCAGATGTTACAGTAGTGTTAATTGAAACAGCGCTCTTTAATGAATAGGGGGGGAAATTTTCTGTTTTTTTGCCTCAGGTTTATATTTATCACTGACAGCTCGTTTTTAATTTAATAACCATATGTCTTTACATTTGAGACAAGTTGGGGAGAGAGAAGTAGCACACATCTCACAATTTGCTGCCTTTATATGATCATGTTTAATAAAAAATATAGGCTTTTGTGAATCATAGTCTACATTTTATGACCCAGTGTTTGCTAGAGAATGTGTTTTTACAGCAACAAAAAAACCCAAAATGGTTCAAACCCCTCACAACTGGTCCAAACTACATTTATTACTTAATTTATTACTGCTTCTTTATTACTTACTTAATATTTTATATGTTTTTGGTACATTAACGTTTCAATTTTTGGAGTCGAGTTAAAAAAGTATATGAAAGTAAAAAAATATATATAATTAATAAATATGTAATTTTTTAAAAGTCTTTTTATGTTATTTGAAAACGGGTTTGCTGCTTAATATTTAATTATTTTTTATACAAAGTATCATTCAGCTACACAGTATCATACAAACAAATCAGCCAGTAATGACACTGATTTCAGTGTGCTTTATTTTTATTCAACGTCTGAAAATGATTTGATGACTTGAATTCAGTGAGTATTCAATGAAGGATTTGTCTGTTTCAGTGTTTTAATCCAGCTTCTGTAACTTATGTGTTTGTGAATATTTTGTGTGGTTAAAAAAAACAACAACAAGAAATCAATTTGTCAGTAAACCTTATATTTGTTATATATATATTTGTTTTGGTTGTAGCCAGTGAATATGTAGTTGAAAGAAATATTAACTCACAACTTTGGAAATTTCCAAAAAGCTGTTTTGAATGTATTACAAGGATAGTTCACCCTATATGATTTTATTTCTTTATTTATTTATTTTTATGCTTCCTTTTTCCATACAATAAAAGCCTCTGTCGAACTCTACAACCAAATTCAGACCGTGACAACTGTATTTACATTCAGTCCGAGAAGTGTGTATACTAAACTGAACTGAACTAGTTATTAATGCAATGACGGCACTCTCTTTTGGCCACTGACAGCTCATGTGTTTCTCTCTCTTCTCCATGTGCGGTGCAAGCGAATCAAAAGAGGTACGTGTCTTGACTCATTTGAAAATTCTGACACAAGTCTGTCTCTCTCCGCTGCAGTGTTTCCCAGCAGCCATGTGGTCTAGGGTCAGCCCACCAGAGACAGCATGCTGTTTAAAAGAGCAGCTTAATGAGCATAAACAAAACACAGTGGGTCTGCTGCACTAATAATTGCGTACAAGTAGCGCACGCACATACATTCGTTCTCATCCTCGTTTTAATGTTAATGGTTCCCGATTATTCTTTACGAGGAAGCGAGCGCCTGCAGTTACTAATTAGCATAAAACCGTCTCCGTATAGTTCGCTTTGAGAACACCCACTGCAAGATCTGACTGTGAATTTTCATTTTTTTGTGAATTGTCCCTATAAGATGAATCATCTGTTGTTGGTCGAGAGAAATTGAAAAGCATACTCGTGTTTGCTTATGCACTTCATCATGAAATTGATTCCCTACTGCATTCAGAGCTAAATGTTGGGGGGAAAAAACAAAAAAAATAACCGAGAGGGAAGCTGATTGGATGAGCTATTTGACAGGCACAAACCAATCAATTCAATCAGTAATTTCAGCATGTACTACAAGCATTCAGGTTTTGCAGGAGTGGCAAATTATAGATTCTGGTCGCGCTGTGAAAAAGTCCATTTCCTGTGATGATGGTTCGTTTTTTGGACTGCTGCCATCAACTGTATTTGTAGTCATGAAGGTTTTTATCCATTTCAGACCTTGACAACTTTATCTGTACATCTTTCGTTCTTTCCGTCTGTCCATCTGACTGTTTGTCATCTTTATCAGAATGTGGTACAACTTTCGATTGGAAGGAATGGGATCAAATAGAAACTTGTGGTGTGTCAAACCTAAATGGAAAAATGGTTTGCGTGTCATCGATATACAATGAGCGTCTATATTAAACGGCTCTGTAATCTGATAATAGATTCAGTCAAATTGTTTTTATCCAGTTGGGATTTTTATTAGACAGATGTCATTGCACTGATTGCACACAGCTGTAACCAATCACACACTCACTATATTACCCCCACTCAGATCCTTTTCAAACGGCCGAGTATTGTTAGCGTTTATCTCTCCCCTAGCGATAGCAACTTTACGGAGCCTTTCTGAGTTTGTTCCAAGTATAATCTAGTTCTGTCATTACAATAGTATAATCAGTGTAACGGAAGGGTGACCTCTGGTAGCGATCGAACGGAAGTCCATGGACAGGATTTGTGACAACTATACTGAAAAAAGTGGCCAGGATATTCTTACAAAATTCTCATCAAAATAAAAATGAAAACTTAAAATATAAAAATAAAAGCTCATTTAAAATATTACAAATGTTATAGTATATAAATAATGCTAAAATAACACTGGTTATATTATAATGAAAAGAGTGGCCTGGATATTCTTCAAAATGCTCATCATAATAAAAATAAAAACTTAATGTAATAAAAGCTAATTTAAAATACAGTGGGTACGGAAAGTATTCAGACCCCCTTAAATTTTTCACTTTATAATAATATATAAATAATACTAAAATAACTGGTTATATTATATTGAAAAGAGTGACCAGGATATTCTTCAAAAATTCTTATAAAAACTTAAAATATAAAAGTAAAAGCTACCTTAAAATAATATAAATATAATAATAGTATATAAATAATACTAAAATAACACTGGTTATATTATATTGAAAAGAGTGGCCTGGATATTCTTTAAAACATTCTCAACATAAGGATGAGTAAGTCATGGCAGGGTTTTTGTTTTTGTGCGAAATGTCTTTTTAACTGAAAATAAAAGAATGTCTGTGTAAAAAATGTCTGTGTCTGTTTGCCTCTTATGACTCATAAGTGTAGTCCCACTTGAGCCCCTATGATCCCGTATTCTTTTTCTGTCTGTTTAACTATCTGACTTAGTCAAGAGTGACTCACATCCTCTGGGGGAATTTTTTTGTTTTCCAGCACCCACCTACATCACGATGGCGCCCCCTGCCTGCGGCTCTCTGGACAACTGCACACTGGGGGACAAGAGCTGTCCGTACGGCTTCCAGCTGGACTCCAGCGGCTGCAGGACGTGCAGCTGCAAGATACGTAAGTGAGCTGAGACGTCACTGGAGAAGTGCTTAATCTTCCTCAGCCCATACAGACGCTGTCAGGCGCTCTTCTCTCCAGACACCGACTGGCTTTAGCAGAGATGTTTATGAGGATAAACACTGAAGGGCAGATGGATTAAGGGATTGTTTTATGCTAAGAAAGGCTGAGTGAATCCCAAGTCTGACAAATGTCAAAGAAAAAAGATAATAATGCTGATTTTAATGATTTAGGGTGGGACCACAAGCCTGGTTGTGGATTATAAATATTACTATTTTAAGATATACACTACTTGGCAAACTTTTGGGCACAATGTAAATATATGCTTAAATCTGAATGCAAATATATGCTTAAATTTATGTGTTTTGCAGGCAAACATAAATTGTGTCTATGAATTTCTTCACAAAATAAATGTTTAATTATTTATTTTTACAGTAAATATAATGTAAATATACAAATATATTATAATGTTATAATACAACATATTTTACCTATGTAATACATTGTAAAAAAAATCTGTTAAAAAAAGGCACAATGTACTGCATTAATATGGAGGAATTTGCTATATTTATTTTTTACAGGTGTTTTACCTGTATTTTGAATTTGCACCTCATTGCATTGATAAATAAAATGTCTGTAAAATGTCTGTAAAATATTAATGTAAAATAAAATAATGTCTGTAAAATTACGGGATTATATCCTGGCAGAAAATCACCAGTACATTTTCTGTTGTTGTTATTGTTGTTTATAATATAATATAATATAATATACTTCTCCTAATAAAATAAAATAAAATAATGGATAAGTTGAACATAGTGACGGAAAAACAGAAAAGCATTCAATTTAATCCATTGAATTAAAAGCATCAAAGAATCTAAAATTGAATTGAATTAAACAATAATAATGGATGACTTGAAGAAAATAAAGGAAATAAAGCATTATATTATTTTATTCTATTCTTTTCTATTCTATTCTATTCTATTCTATTCTATTATATTATATTATATTATATTATATTATATTATAATTTCTTTTTGTATTAGAATATGTTGCATTTCTCTTGTTTTTGCCTCCCTGTCTGTGTTGATCTTAAAGCATGTATGTTAAGGTAATTAATGTCTAAAGCTGTAATTAATTAGTCTATTCTGTTTTCTTCTAACCTTCAGGAGAGGAGTTGTGCAGTAGTCTAATTGCCAGCTGCACTCTGAAATGCCCTTTTGGCTTCCAGACTGACATTCACGGCTGTGAGGTTTGCCAGTGTCGCCCACGTCACAAGAAGTGCAAAGCTGTGGCCTGTGCCAAGGACTGCCCCTTTGGCTACATGTAAGAAAACAATTATCTGATTCGTAGAAGTAACAATAACAAGAAGTGCAGTTTCTAATAAACTTTCATTGTTAGTGGAACAGTATGTGATTAAATCTCTGATGACTTTATGAAAAACCATAAAGCTCTTCCTGACATTGTTTCCTTGAGCCAGGCTGGTCTTGAGGGACATTCACACTAGTATCACTTTAAGGCAATTTGAATAAAAGTTCAACTACGTGTTAGTTTTATAGCTTTAAGGATTAGTATAAGAATGTCTTACTACTTCCTAAGTCTCCCCTGACTTAAGTAATAATATGGTTCCAAACTATTTTTATCCTTCATTTTATGTCATAGTCACCCCAATGATTTTCTAAACTATCAGGAAAGGCAGCAGTCATTAGTTGTGACAAACTAAAGCGAATCCCACACTGTTCCTAGCACGGTCTGGAGAAATTGTGAATGACAAAAATGCGCTCTGCTTTGCTTGTTTGTGCCCAACTGCAAGTTTAGAGCTGACAGCTAATTAGGGCCGGCTCAGATCAGTGCCTCTGATTGCGCCGTGTAAAGGATGAGCTGCGATAGCGAAGCTGAGCGCCTAATCTACACAACACCATGTCTCGACGCAATGACGAATAAACACTGCTGCTCCACATCTGCAAAAAAAACTGCTCCAATTACACAGGCAGATCGCCGAGCCAATTTGTACAAACTTTTGTGGAGCTGTGCAGTCGGCAGGTTAAAGAGACATCTTGTGACAAATGGAGATGAGAAAGAGAAGAAAAGTGCAAGAAAGTACACACGACTACTTTCAGTGACTGATGCCTTATTGTCAGGGGATTGTTTTTTTCCACTTTCTATTCATGTGATAGTGAAGAGAGCACAGGAACAGGAGGAACAGAATTGGGAACTTGAATCTGTTGCAAGCCAGATTCAAACTTAAAAAACCCATATGAGCACCACCAGTCAGTATCAGAGCTTGTGCACTAAATGCTAGTTTGTGGCTTCAGTGATTGTCATTTTATTGGTAAATGTTTCTTTACGCAAGCCATTTATTTTGGTATATAATGATTAATTTCACGACCACATAACACCATGTCCTAACTGATGATTTATTTCCCAAAAGCATCACTGGCCAACTATGGTTGCAAGTTCTGTTGTTAGCAACATAGTTGAACAATTTGATCTTCCCAAACCACAGTTCCAACAAACATTTGCAAACAGCATTGCAAAGTTGTGTTCAGAAGTACAGCTCGAACAATAGATTTGTGAAAAAATTACTTTGTAAATTTTGAAAAGTTGAAGGTCCAACACAAGTTTAACATGGGCGACAGTTAATTCTTGAATCGAGAGCACAAAATTTCTTTCGAAAAATATTCACGAATATAATATCCTACTTTATTGCACCGCATCAGCAGTCAAGAATAACTTAAACAGGTTGCCAACGTTTACTAAACTCTGGACTAGTTTTGACTCGCTGCTGATCGGAATGGCGATGCGATGTCCGTTTGTGAAGAGGAAAAGGAAAAAAACAAAAAAAGAGGAAGAGGAAAAATCTATCAAATTTGGCACTATATTCAAGCCAGTCATAAATTGCTGGAAATTAAATTGCTGGTTGATATAGCCAGATTTCAATAAAGTTTACACACATTTTTTGGTCTTTGAACTGGATCTGGCTCAGGACGCGCGCTGTCTGTGGAGGCTTTGCCAGGCACAGTTCCAGAATTAAATCATGAGGGTGCTCTCGCATATATTTTTGTTCTGTCCATTGCTATGGATATCACTTTGTCAATCACTGCTATTTCGAGAGTGAATCCAGCATAAAAATGTGTATGTCATTCCCGAAACTTTGCAGAGTGTCTATGTCTGAAAAACAAAAGCTTCATGCAAATTCGTAATGGTTTATAGCCTAGAAAACGGGTAAGGAGTGCTCCCTTTAGGGCGCTCCCCGCAATCTCGCAAAGTTCTGTTATTATTATGACTGTCAGTCGATTGCAATTTTTAATCTAATTACATACATAATGTGTTGATTAATTAATCTAATTAATTGCAAACTATATTTGGCTGTGAAAATACCCCCAAAAGATTATTTAAAGCTATTTTTGTGTTAAATGAGAAAGTATTAAGTAGACATTGCAAATAGTAGCTATAGAAAGAAATATTTTATTTGATTCAACATAAAATTTATTACACGTTTAGGCTAGAATGGCCTAACAGAAACTATGGAACATAAAAGAAGATAATCTGAGAAACATCTCAGTTTTTTTTTTCGTTCATGCAATGGAAGCCATTGGTAACCAAAATGTTGTGTATGAGTAAATGATTAAATAATTTAATTTTGTGGGGTGAACTATCCCTTTAAAGTGATTTTCCCTTTTCTTTTTTATGAAATAATCCTCTAAATAAGAAACTAAATCTGCCAGCAGGTGGTGGTAAATGTCTTTGAGTCATTCGTTTCTTCAAACGCCTGATTCATTCAGAATTTCAGTAAACGGCTCTCTTTATGAATGCGCTTTTGAATCATTGGTTTACACGATTCGTTCAAAACGTGGATTCATTCAGAAACTAAACACCTCTGTGTTGCTCGGAGAAGCACAACAATTCTGCTGTTGCTTTATAGGTAATGTTTTTGTTGGCAAAACTGAGCAAAAACAGACAATATTGTGTTTAAAATATAACACAATATCAACTTCTTATTTACTGAACTGTTGTGTAAAATCACATTTGGGACAAACAGCACTTGTCTGCTCTCGCTGCTCGTGATATCGCTTATCATGTGATATAAATATGACACAAAAACTCATACAGGAGCATTTTTGCCCCAATATCTTGAATTATAGGGCATAACTGCATTTATGGAGTTGTTGCCCTGCATCATATTTGTCAACAGTCAACTGTGAAAAAAAATTAAATTCACTGTGCTCAACTTTAGTTTTGGAGTGCGTAGATCAATCAGTAACATCATATTCTAGTAAGGGATCCACACTCGCTTAATCTTCTTAATCACTTTCAATTTATTTAAATTTTGCAACAGAGCAAACAACAATCAGTCAACTGTATGAAATAAGATGATGTACAGGTCTGGGGGCGGGGGCAAGTGCGTTTCCTGCTTTAAAATATTTTAATTGCATTATTTTTCATAACTAATTCATTACGTTAACATATTAACCCTTAAATGCATGAATGTTTCGCCAATCATTATTACATATTCGGGTCTTTAGCAACCCGGACCTATAGGCCTATATCCAGGACGGATGGACCTCTAACTGCTGCAATAGCAAAAAAATTATCTTGATATTTTAAGAACAATTACAGAAGAATAAAATAAACTTAAAAGGGTTCAATTTGAGCAGATGATTTTACCATCGCCGTCATCGTCAGAGCGAGCTTCCACAGTACATTCAGCATCTGCCTCACATTCACAATCTCAACCATGTTCTCAAAACTATCGTTTTCAATTACTTCATATTCAATATTTTGATCACTGGCAGCTTATTCACCACATCCAGCATCAAATGGCAGTGACATTTATATTTCATTGCGTATAGTAATTGCTCTGCAATAAAGCCATTCAAACCCGTTCCATTTTTGCTGATGATATTCATTTGTTTTATGCCTGCGGCAATTATGAGTGAAACGTCACGTCATCATTGTGTATCAAACAGTGCCACCTTGAGGAAAAAAAGATGCATTGCACAAATTGAGTCCTCAGATATGTAAATATAGTCGCGCAGGAAAAAATACTTACACATTTACATACATCGTGTCTGTAGCGACCCTATACACTTTTTATTTTATATTTTACAATTTTTTTCTTGTTATATTGTTTATAATGAATAGATTGAGGAATACTAAGAAAGTTGATGTCTACCTTTAAAGAATGAAGGAGGGAGAGGGTAGAGAATGATGTCCCGGGTCGCTAAAGACCCGAGGTATGCATTTAAGGGTTAAACTGACAGCCCTAGTTATAATCAATGAATCTCTCTACACTGCACAATGAAACTTGGTAACACTTTATTTTACTGTGTCCTTGTTACACGTTACATGTACTTACTATTACAATAACAATAAATTATGCATTATTACATGCAAGTAAACCTAAGCCAAATCCTATCCCTAACTATATAGTAATTACATGTAGTTAATTAATATTACTCAGTACTTAAATATATAATTACACTGTAACAAGGACACCTTAAAATAAAGTGTAACCTGAAACTTTTATTTACATCGCATCTGCACTTTGTTTGTTATGAGATGATTGAGTGCACAGAACTGCACTGAATAAAAACTCCAGCATTTTCAGTAGGCTAGTGAGTGAATCCTGACCAACTCACACGTTTCTGTTTGGCTATTGCGTTCAAGAAATCAACAGATATGTCTGTGATTGGCTACATTGCACAACATTACAAAAACACATTGTAAATAGTAAGTTTTGATGCTCTCCAGACGCAACCACAAATACGCACTGGATATTTTTCCAGATTTTCAGTTGAGGGTGCTTTTGTTTGAGGGTATTTATCACCCTCTAACACCCCCATAGAACTGGGCCTGGGCTTGGCTAAATGCTCCAAATTGCCGCGGGGCTGGCATTGCCCTAGAGTTGGCTAGAGTTGTGATGTAGTGGTTAGTGCAAATGTTCCAGACATGTTAAGCTGTGCTGTGCATATTGGAAAGGCTGGTTCGAATTTGATGTGTGTTGTAACCCAAACCCATCCCCTCTTCATCTGCCCCATGATTATCTTCTCTCTACTGTCTCAATGAATAACCCTCAAAATGTTAAAAGGAAAAAAAAATAGGTGTACTGTTCCTTTAAAATATAATGAAGACCGTTATGACAAGTGCAGAGAATGAGGCAGCAGCTTGGCTGGTCTTGCATCTCTATAGTCTCCTATCCGAGGCTCATTCCCTCGGGTGTGGTTGAATAAAGAAGAGTCTTTATTTATCCGAGTTCGGCCCCTGGCCCGTCATTGTCTCTTCCCACCTCAATTCTGCCGTCATGAATGTGCACACAAGTGCAAATGCTTGCATCTCAGATTCTAATTTTAGATATCTATTTATGCCCCCTCAAAGTTATGGCCGAGGATCAAGCTCGCTGCCTGAATAATGCATGCAGCTTAGCACAGACGTCCTCCTCTTGCACAAAGAATATTGATATTCCCATTCCCCACTGCTGACATCATACCTGATAGCTTCTTATCACCAAACCAAATACGCACTGCACATGGCTGCTTCTCAGCCCTATTATTCATCCGATAAGAGCGGATAGGGGGATGAAGGATGGGAAGAAGTGTGTGTGTGTATGAGATGGGCAGTTGGGGTTCAGACCAGTGCGCCCTGGATGAGTTTGTTCTCCAAGGAAGGTGCCTTGGACATCAGGGAGCATTTTGATTGGTCGTTTTGGTTAGTCGTCTTTAATGTGCCATCTGCTGACAGGACTCCAAGTAAGGTCAATAAAGACTCTCTCTTTCTTTCCTCTCTCTCTCCTTCTCGCTCTGTTCCGGTGTTAACGGATGACATTGGACTGTGTCTTTGGCACCTGGTGTATAGTGCCAAGCTTTGATGTGCCAATGACAAAGTGTACTGAGAGTGTGCACTGACTCTTTATGAAGGCCACATGTCTTGAAGAGTTATTTTAAAGGTGCACTCTGTCTTTTTTTATTTATTACATTTTTTGTATATGTTGTACTGGCCAACTTATACTGACACCTAGTGGCATGGATCCAGCTATCCACACATAGAAATGTGGTAATCGCAGTCAGCCATTGATTAATTTTTGTGAGTGATAGTGTCCAGTAACAAGATGTACACAGATAAAGTAGTTTTTGACTAGTCGTGATCTCAACTCCATTTAAAATAAATCAGCTTTTATAAGGGGCCATTCACACAGAACATGTTTTTGTGTTGAAAAATGGGAGGTGTGAGCACTGAAATGGCAAAAATGTGCGGCCGCCTTTTTTTAACATATTTTGATTTGAGTTTTGATTTGACAACAGTCAAAGACATCCATCTAACACAAGTTTAGCTACATTTAAAAAAAATGGAAAAAGATTGCAGTGGAATGCAAAAGCACATTCTGTCTGAACGGTCCCTTCAGAGTACTGATATGTCTTGAGTATTCATTTCTACATTATTTGCACATACATCATTTATAAAAAAAATATTTTTGGAAGTATGTTGTTGTTATTTAAGAGATGTCATGACAACTTTCTGAGAGTTTAGCATGGTAATATACATGACAGTGTTAATGTGTTTGGTCTTGGCGGAAAAGATCTGCTACACTGCTGCTTCAGCAGAGCAAGTACAGAGACTTGCTACGACCAGTACATCCACAGACATGCTGCTGTGAGCGTGTAAGAAATACTGCTGCTGCACATATAATATATATAACATAACTCCCATATATAACATACATGAAATTACCCCGTAGTGGATCTATACAGGTGGAGCTGGGGAAGGTAGAGGGTTTCTGAAACTGCTACAGCAAACACTAGCCAAGTATTTGAATGTTGAGCAGCAAGCTCATTGGCTGCTGATGTGAAAAGAAACCAACCAGCTGGGCTGTGTGAATAATGATGTGATTACATCAGATTGAGTTAGAAGCTATCAGTCTGCACTATCTAGAGTTTCATGACAAAACTTTGTATTTCTTTTTTAAATAAGGGAAAACTTACTGCATCATGTACGTATGAATTTTTTACGCTTTCTTGTTCTTTCTCCCTATCTCGTTTTTTTTGTTATCAGTAAGAACAAGCATGGCTGTGACACCTGCCGTTGTAAGAAATGCCCTGAACTGCTATGTGACAAGTCCTGTCCAATGGGCTTCCAGCACGATGAGTTGGGCTGTCTGATTTGCCAGTGTAGAGGTAAGTCACTGTTTTGCCTTTTATAGACCTTGTGATTTTGTATTATCTAGTTTAACTACAGCAAGACTGTTACATTTCTCACTGATAGTTCCAAATTAGAAATCTAATAAAAAAAAATTTATGCCTGTAAATGCACATCTTTTGAATTCTATGTTTAAGCACCAATTTATAAATATTTTGAATTAGCTTTTATTTTAGTATTTATATCAGTTTACATTTTACTAATTTTGGGATGTGCTTTTGTCTGTCTTTTTTTCTATTTAACTTTGGCTATTCAGATAATTTTATTTTTATTTCAGTTATAGTTTTAGTAATTTTAGTACTTCCGTTTCTAAGTTTTTCATCTTATTTTTTATTTCAGCTTTATTTCAGTTAACAAAAAACTATTTAAGCTAAAATAATGTGTATTTTTAACTACAACAACATTGTAATGAACTGTATAAATTTATTCTGATTAATATAATTAAGAATTACAATTATTTATTACAGATTGGTGACTTTTATCATATAACTGTTGTGGCAATTTTACAAACACAATAAGATACTATAGGCCATGCGTTTTTTAGAAACATGAACACCCCTTACCCAAGGTAAAATCACTGCAGCTTTATTTCTTTATTGCTTTAATACATAAGCGAAATCTGTTTAAATCAGAATCAGAATCAGAATCAGAAAGAGCTTTATTGCCAAGTATGTTTGCACATACAAGGAATTTGTTATAGTGTCACAGGCTTCCAGTACAAGATTGTGTGGTGTGTTCTGCCGAATGTTCAGCAGCTCATCCCTGGTAAAACTGATCGTGTTTGAGAAACAAAAAACAGGAAAAACTAACAAAAACAGTACAAACACTGGAGAGCCAAACACTGAGGCTGCCGTCTGCGGCGCCATCGCATTTATATCGATGGCGATGGCGTCGCCACCTTGAAGTTGACAGCTAACACGGATCAAAGACTTTTCAAAGATCAAAGACTTTTTTTCCCATTTAAAAAATGTAAAATCAAATCAAATATTGTAAGTAATTTATATTTAAAAATCTAAGTAATATAACTCAAAAGCTTTTTTTTTCATGTCCAGAGGTGATCTAGTGCTACGTTGGCCCCATACAGCTGAATCAATATGCTGAGGTGTTATTCCTTTAATTTCCAAGTGTGATCCATGTGCACCAAGAGAACTGCTGGGCCTCCAATTCAGGAGACCAGGGTCTCCAGCATGACTCATCCCCCCCTCCCCATATTTTCCATTTATTTTGAGGGCCACCTGTTGTATATACAAAAGCCGGGCCCACAGTTACTCACAGCCCTCCATTATTTATACGACTCTTGTGTTCTCGTTTGATTCATCTTCAATAATGAAGCTGGCACGTGAAATATTCACAAGCTCGGTTCGTTTAATGAGACGAGAGAGCAAGGAAAAAGACCCTTTTTTAATCTCCCTCGTGTTGAATTTTTGAAAGCGTGCATCCTCCACATATCACCCAGACAGAATTTTAATCAATGTGAAATGGTTCTGTGATATTGACTGGGGCCTGGCTGGAGCCCTGCCGCTGTTATGGAGAGGCAGTGAGAGGTGACGCTCTTGGCAGATAGAATGAGATTTGAGAATGTTTTGTGCTCTGGGGTTTGGGGCGTGCGAGGCATCACTTGCATATTTTGTCATTTCATGCTGTCTGTGGTGCAGCCGGTGAAAATGTTTCACTGAAGAGGTCAAATGTCTGGAATATAAATGTAAAAATGATTCAGGGAATCCTCTGGCTTTCCCGTTTCGCTATTAATATGCCAAAGAATCCATCCGGACCAGACTATATAAACACATTTTTACGCTGTGTCTAAAATAAAAATGAGTTTGATCATTTCAAATTGTGGTCTGCTTTTACCACAAAGCAGTTGTTCTCTTGTTTTGTTTGAGAGTTTGAGTTAAGTGTTTGCAGCGTTTGGGTGAAATGTCAACTAAATTTCAATGGTTTTATGTTCTCAGTATTCAAATAATGTTTATCCTCATTGCAAGTGAACTTGTATTTGTATAGGTTGTATTTGTATAGGTATAAATGCATGCAAAGTCAAAACATGCTTTAGTTTTCTCAAAATATGCATTTAATACCACCTCATTTTCCACTGATTCTCAAACAATTCGTTCGAAGCCGTTTTAAGATTCAGTCTCTCTAAACCCCTCCTTTCCGTGAGCCTACTCTGCTCTGATTGGTCAGAAGGCCCATTCAGTTGTGATTAGTCTACTGCATACAGCGTGTCGGAAATGATATGCCAATTGCCATAGTTCCATATTTTGAGTGCTCAATAGAAAATACAAACATCTACTATGTATCATACTTACAGGTTGTGATTCAATGGAGCCAGCTGGTCCAAATAAACTGGGTACTAAGCCATCTTTCAAGATTGAGGGTTTTGTGAATCCCGCCTTGTACTCAACGAGGTTAGAGAAGCAGTCGTCAGTAAAATGACAGGAACACAATAAAGACTGGGGTTGTACTGCTGTGGTACAGTGGAAAAAATGAATTTTAACCACTGATTCTTTGAAAACAAAATGAATTTACTTTCACAGCGTGGAACACAGCGTCTTCTTGGCATGACGAACAAGCTACAGTGTTTGAGGGCGGTTCAAGTTGCTGCGTAGAACATAGGCGGGCGTTATGCAAATGTGTTACCCCGTGATGTGTAGCTGTTACGGAAGTGGAATTCGAATTACTGATGACTGGTTTAGGCCGTTCAGAGTTTATGCTTTCAGCTCTCAGTTTTCAGTTGATGTGTTTATTGTTCATTCATTGGTTTCTCTGTGCAGATCAGAGCTCGTCATCTGTGGCTCCAGCAGTGAAACTGGGCTCCTGCTTGTCTATGGATGGCCGCAGGCACGAGAACGGGCAGAGCTGGCATGACGGATGCAGGGACTGTTACTGCCATGCTGGGAGAGAAATGTGTGCCCTTATTTCTTGCCCAGTTCCCCCCTGTGATAACCCCACCATCCGACCTGGCCACTGCTGCCCCACCTGTCCAGGTGAGCCAAAACTGCAACATACTTACATTACAATCTCCGTTGATACTTCAGGATGGATTTTACATGTTAAAATATTTATTATCTCTTTCAGAAGAGTCCAGTTCCCATAAGCCGGAGCTGAGCGAGGCGTCCGTGTGTTTGGCTCCAGGTGGAGAGTACTTTGTGGAGGGAGAGACGTGGAACATTGACTCCTGCACTCAGTGCACCTGCCACAGTGGCCGTGTGCTCTGTGAGACGGAAGTGTGCCCACCCCTGCTCTGCCACAGTCCAATCAGAACGCAGGATTCCTGCTGCCCTCACTGTTCAGGTGTGCTGTCAACGAAAGCCTTTATGTTTGAAAAGCATTGACAGGCCTGCTCTAACTTACCAAAACTTTAGTTTAGAAGCACGTTGCGAAAACTTGAATGTCATGGAGAAGCCAAAGTGGCTGTGATATTTGGATCTTGTAGGAGTACAGTCAAGGGAGGCAGAAAAAACACAAAAATTCATTATTGTAAGGACTTTTAGAGCATAGAGGCGTGAGACACCTTCAACGGGAGAAAAGTTAACAAAATGTGAACGTGCATAATGCATGTGTTTGGTGGAAATGATGAATACTGCATGGGCGCAGGAGTACATGATTAACAGTCTGAGCTGAAAGGATGACAGAGGAATAGAATGGATGCACATTTCAGAGAATGTTTCAGCAACTCAACTATAACTCTGCTCTTTAAAATGTTCTCAACGCCGCTGAAATCATTTTTTGGCTTTCTAAATGAAAGGGAGAAATGTAGATTTGTTTTTCGAGATTGGATTGTTTGAGTTGCTATGAATATTTATGTTTTTTGAGTCATTTGTGTTTTAGTCAAAGTATGTTGACATTCCGTTCTTTAGTTACAAGAGAAACTACTCAAAACTTTTTCACTCTCACTATAACATGGAGCAAATACAGCCCCAGAGAAATATGGTGCACTTATTAGCAAATTTCAAAGCTTGAATTCAAAGACGTAGTGTCACATGCTTAATTGGAGACTATTAGAAATTTGTTGACTGACAGTTTCATTTTAGCTTGTAAACTGGATCTCACTGAAGTCAACATCAAAACTGTTTACTTCCTTAATACGTTTCTGGTCTTATTGTGAAGGATCTAAGGATTTAAAGAAAAAAAGTCTTTATAGTTCTGTCATTAAACTCTAGATGGCGCAGGCTGATGGATCGTTAATGCTAACTAATGATATTCACAGCGTTAAGGCTGGAATACACTACATGACTTTTAAAATCTAAACAGATTTTTAAGACACTAGGCATCATACACTTACCGACTTTTTCAGTGACAGAGGAAAACTGGACATCATACACTGCATGACTGAGTATGATACACTAGCAGACTTCATCGTTCCGATCACAACAAACTCACGCAGAAACGTGCACCTTGTTTCTAGGAGACTATTGACAAATAAAAACAATGTTTGATATTTTCAGCCGATTTTAGAACACATGTTTGATATCCTCCGACTGGGTGGATTTAGAGTCTGAAGCTAAAAAATCTGAGTCTGTGACCATCGTACACTATGCGATTTTCTATGGAATCTGTCAACTCAAATCTGCAGACTGGCTTTGACTTTCGGCAACTAGCGTCGACTTCTCCAGACTGTAAATCGGTGGAAAATCAGGGCAAAAATCGTGTAGTGTATTCCAGGCTTTAAACTTGGCACAAGCTGATTGGTTCATGTTGCATATGCAGCCAATGAGCTTGCTGCTTTACATTTAAATGGTTGGTTAGCATTCACTAGAGCATTTCGCAGCACGCTTCAGAGTTTCTCTGAAACCCACCCCCTTCCCCAGCTCCACCTGCTGCTACGGGTTATTTTATATGCTATTTGTGCAGCAGCAGTATGTCTTAAATACTCAAAACACTGTATCACCGTATGTATTGGCAGTAGCATGTTCCTGTACTTGCTTTGCAGCAGCAGCAATAACCAACAGCAGCAATTTAGCAGCATAGCAGATCTATTCCTCCAAGATCAAATGAACATGAACATTGTCATATCCGTTACCATGCTAAAATCTTCAGAGAGTTGTCATAATAGAAATCCGTTTATATATATCCCTTGTTTCAGATGATCCAGTCACCCCTCAGACGCCCAGTAACGACAGCATGCCCAGCTACTGCAGGAATGAGGATGGTGATATTTTCTTGGCCGCTGAGTCCTGGAAGCCCAACGTTTGCTCCAGCTGCGTGTGTCTAGACGGAGCTATTAGCTGCTTCGCTGAGTCCTGCCCACCAGTCAACTGCGCCCGGCCCGTGCTCAGGAAGGGCCAGTGTTGCCCATACTGTCTAGGTATGTAAATCTGTGCACAGTTGAAGATCGTATTTCCCCAGTTCAGACAGCCAAGTTAAGTTGCCTTCTGATCATATGTGGGTGTTAATGACATGGCTATGACTGAGTGTCTCTCCCACCTCTTCACCAGATGCCACGCCGAGGGCCGTGTGTCATTTCAACGGGAAGACGTACATGGACGAGGAGCGATGGGACATTGACAGCTGCACTCACTGCTACTGCCTGCAAGGCCAGACCCTCTGCTCGACTGTCAGCTGTCCTGTCTTACCCTGCCATCAGCCGGTCACCGTGGAGGGCAGCTGCTGCCCCATGTGTCCAGGTCAGGATTTATGTGCTGTGTGTTCACATAGAGATTAGATCAGATGAGTAGAACAGAATGAGAGACAGTGAATCTGCATGGCAAATACAAAACAGATATGCTACACAGAGCCCCGTAAAGTATTTAGAGCATTAAATGTTTCTTTGCATGGTTAAAATATTTAACCAGGTGGCATCACAAACAATGTACAACCTTTATCAGAACTAGTGTCAATTTTCTTAGCTAACAAATGTGTTTAAGTGAAACATTTAGCTTTTTGTAAAATATTTAGCAATTTGAAAATTCTGTTTGTGATGTCTTTAATTTAAATCCAAATACTTTTTGGATCTTTATTTATGTTGGACTGCTATTTTAAGCAGACACTGAACTCCAAATGTTCAAATGAGCTTAAAAAACAACATATTATATGAATGATTATAAAACAAATATTAGATGAAAAACTTAAATGGGAATTAGAAATTTGGCCGTGACAACTAACTGAAATAAGTGCTAGAATGAATAAAAAATTAATAATACTTAAATAAATAATACTTAAATAATAGGAATCTGTCAAATTAGTAATAATTATCAGTATTATTAGTTAAATAATAATAGAATTATTATAATACATATTTATAATAATTTATAATTTTACTGTATTTGTAGTAAATAGATCATTATAATTTTTAGAAACATTATAGTTTTATACAAGATCTTGTTTCATGTAAAAGTCCAAATGAAATAAAAATAATAATAAAATTGTAGGTTTGTTTTTGTAAAATTTTTAAATAAAATGAAGCATAGAAATTACTTTGTCTGGATTTTTTCTTTTAAAACAGTTTTATTTCTCTGCTGATGTAATCAAGGCCACAGGGGTGGGGAACATAAGCTTAACCAATAAAAGCCCTTTTCACCCCCCAATTAAATCCTGATGGATAAAATCATTTACTTTTCCATTTAATTCTAATGTACAGCCCACTACTGGAGTTCAATTCTGCTTTATTTGCAATCTGGTTTGCATTTTTCCCCCCATAAATTGAAGTGGATGGAAAAGTAGCTATAGACTACTTCACAATGACTAAAATAAATGGCAGTATCACTGATCCAAGTACCCTGCAGTTTTGCTCTCTGTAGTTCTGTCACACGTCTCTCTCTCTTTTTCATGCTCTCTCTTTATCTCGTTGTCTCTCTCTCTGTCTGGCTCTCATAAAGCAGTGTTTACTTAGAACCTTCTCTCTAATTGAATGGGTCTTTCGTCTAAATACGGACTCATTGAGATCAATCATTTAAAGGGATTAAGTCGAAGCCGGACAGAGGCTAAATTAGCTCTCTTTGCATTTGGGAGATAATGTCATTGATCACGGCCCACTTTATTGCTGTGTCACTTGGCTCTGGATCAATGAGGGGGTTGAGAGTGGTGTCGTGTGCACTCTGGGTAATCACTCACCCTTTGGTGCTTTCCCACTCAAAGATGCAGCTCTGAAGATGAGCTTTTAATTAGCCTGCGGCCCGCAATTTCACGCTGACCTGAATCTTGTTTGTTCTGAGTGGGCACTTCTCAACTCCTCTTAATGTAGTTTGTATTATGTGCTTTGGTGTGTGTTTTTCTGTAACACGCTGTTCTTCTCTCTTTGTTTCTTTCTTTGTGTCTCTGATATTTTAATTACAGAAAGTTACGCTCCCACAAATGTGCCCATCGAGAAGACGGACCAACGAGGAGACAAGCAGAGACATCAACCAGCCTGGCCAACTCATAGCGAAAATGATATTATGCCACAGTTCAGAGGTCTGTACCAGAGTACGGGACGATATATAGACAACAAGTCGTTGTTGGGCTGTCTTCGCTTAATGCACAAAATAAGACACAGCACAACCAGTGTAGTCTGATTCATAAGCAAATGACTTATGAGCCAATTCTTTAAATGAAGTAGTCAAAAAGTCCAATGCATAATGCAGTGTGAATGCTTATTGAATTCTTAGCATTGCCACAAGGGGTGCTATAGCGAGCTTTAGCAAAAACTGTCTTCTTCTACAATCTGTATTCTGGTTTAGGACAACTAAGCTGCATCCAAATGTGCATACTTTCTAGTAGGTACTACAGTTGGTTTGAAACTTACTTCAACCGTTAAAAACTATGTTCTGTATAGCATGAATAAGGGTAGTATGAATGAAATTTGGAAGTATTACATCCACCATGTTGTTACTGTCATGTGACCTATCAGTGTCAGTTGTATCGCTTACCTGCCATTCACAAATCCACTCCCTTGGTTTCATGGGATAGTAAAGCATCTATCGAATGCACACTCCAGAATCTTGGTGGAAGTAGTAGGTCATCTGGGTACTTTTCGTCTACTCGTTTTTCAACCACTGGTTTTTCGAATACTATGAATTCAGACATACTACTCTTTTAACATACTGTTTTTTTGCATGCTATACTGTATAGTATGGAAGTAAGAATAATTCAGACAGCACAAATCTCATGGAAGAGCAACATTTTGAAGAGAATTCATTTGAGAAGTTACTTAGCCTAGTTAAGCTGTTTTAAGATACTAACTTGCAAACTTAGGCTCCGTCCACACAGAGACGCGTTTAGCTGTATACGCATAAATTTTGTATCGTATAGGTGTTTCGTCCACACGGATCCGGCGTTTTGGGAGAATGAAACCGATATTTTTTGAAACCAGGTCCCAGAGTGGATAAATCTGAAAACGCCGCCCTTGCGTTTTCGTGTGGACAGCGAATCCGTATATTTTCTGAAACGATGACGTTCTGCACTGGGCCTGGGTGGCACTGCCCATCCTAATGATGATGCTCACTATCGCCGCCCTGCTGTTGGTCAACCAGCGTAAGCAGTGGATCCCTGTGCCTTGCTACCGCACACCCAATAAGGTACCTGCCTATATGTCCCAGTTTGCTACATGGATACTAGGGGTGGGCGATATACTGGGAGACACGATTAATCGGTAGAAATTTGCCAACCGATAGAGATTATGCACTATTGTCTCTGTCAAGGTTACAAACTCACGTGTGGTTGCTGTGCTACGTGGTCATAAAAACGTATCGTTTGCATGCATTTTTAAGCATTGCAAACGATAAGAGGTTTTATGCCCTTGAAACGCAATCAGTAGCGAAAGAAATCTCATTTCACTATTTGCAAGCGCCGTCAGAGAGGTGCACACAAGTGAAGACAATGCTCATAGAGCGTGGTAGTATTGAACGGAGATATTTTGCCAAAATGGCCATCTTTGCAAGTATCCTCGTAAACTGTAATTTAGGTCTTAAGTGAAAGCAATTGAAAAGAAAAACACGTGTAACAGTATATTGGATCCGGGCAGCTCTTAAAGTGAAACGCAGTCAGTAGCGAAAGAAATCTCATTTCACTATTTGCAAGCGCCGTCAGAGAGGTGCACACAAGTGAAGACAATGCTCATAGAGCGTGGGAGTATTGAACGGAGATATTTTGCCAAAATGGCCATCTTTGCAAGTATCCTCGTAAACTGTAATTTAGGTCTTAAGTGAAAGCAATTGAAAAGAAAAACACGTGTAACAGTATATTGGATCCGGGCAGCTCTTAAAGTGACAGCAGTCTTATATTCCTGCTGTCTGTCATTCATGTTAATCAAACAGCAAAAGAGAGAAAATCTCTCACTGCTTTTGACTAAATTACTTTTTGTAACTTTAATAAGATATATATATTTAATCTACACAGAGAAGAATATGCAGTGTTTTATACATTTGATTACTTTATACAATGAATGTAGCATTTCTTATTTATTTGTTCTACTGTAGTTTTTTGTCCTATTGCTTGTAATTAGTTTCTTATACTTATTTAATCTAGACTGTTTACTTGCCTTCAGTGAGCTTGAGTTTAAAAAAAAAAAAAATTTATTTAGACTAGTATTAGTTCCCTTTCAAGGGAACTTCGAACTGCGTCCTCTAGTAGCAGTCTAAAATTCCTGCCATCTGTCATTCTTGTTAATCAAACAACAAAAGAAAGAAAATCTCTCACTGCTCTTGACTAAATCACTTTTGTAACTTTAATAAGAAGAAATATACTGTATATATTTAATTTCCACAGTGAAGAATATGCAGTGTTTTTATACATACAGTGTTTTTGTCCTATTGCTTTTGATTAGTTTCTTATTTTTATTTTATCGCTGACTGTTTACTTGTCTTTAGTGAGCTGTATTAGTTTTTTGTAATATTGAAAGTGGTGACAAGAATTCTGATATTTATTTTTGATATCATAAAGACCTTATTTAAAGCAAAAAATAACTATTGTTATATATATATATATATATATATATTAGGGGTGGAACGGTACACAGATGGCACGGTTTGGTACTTACCTCGGTTCGGGGGTCACGGTTCGATACTATTTCTGTACAACAGGGGGAAAAAACAAATCTACTATGCTCGGTTTCTTTTCATTTATTTTGAACAGACAATAGTACAAATTACAATTTTTTCCACCTAGATGTGAAAATACTAAATATTACTACATTATGTTATATATATAAAATCTGCAGTACATATATACATACAAGGAATAAATTCTTGAAATATATTTGATTTAGTTTACAGATAAAACAGGGAAAAAAACAGTGCGACACGTAACGTAGCCCGATGCGGGCGCCCCCTTCTGGATTGGGGGTGAATTGCCTATATTTCGTTGTAAGGCCTCATGCACCGAACCGAGATGTCCGTACCGTGACGGTTCGGTACGAATACATGTATCATTCCACCCTTAATATATATATAATAATAATAATAATAATATATGATTTTGGTCATATCGCCCACCCCTAAAGGATACAATCACTTTTTGAATTAACATACCAAACAGGATGCAGAATTACGGTTTTGAATTATGATTACATTTAAGTTTAGAATATTTATTTTAATTACCAAAAATGGTACTTAAGGCTGGAATACGCCACACAACTTTTAAAATTGGAACAGATTTTAAAGCACTAGGCATCATAGTTTTGCTGGCTTTGTAAATGGTTACACAGAAATACTGGGCATCATACACTAAACGAGGGTCACACATTACCAGACTTTCAAATCAGTCCGAACACAACAAACTCATGCAGAAACATGCACCTCATTGCCAGGAGACGCATGACAAATTAAAAATGTCTGTGCCCTTTATATACTAACTATGTGATTTTCTGTGAAATCTGTCACCCAGCATGGGCTCCACAAGACTTTAAATTGGAACAAAAATCTAGGCAAAAGTTGTGTAGTGTATTCCAGCATTTAGTTGCGTAAGAATGAGAAAATTCTCTCCATGGTCCAAGACTCACTGTAATTTTTTTTTTTTGTCCTGTGTAGCCTACGTGTCTCAATAACCAGCTGGTGTATGTGGACTGCCAGAAGGGGACAAAGGTCCAGGTGGATAGTTCCCAACGCATGCTCCGCATTGCAGATCCTGACTCAAGATACAGCGGTTACTACAGCATGCAGAAAAACAACAACCTGCAAGCTGACAACTTCTACCAGACCGCGTGAGACACAGGAGAGAGAGAGAGAGTGAGTGAATGAGAAAGAGAGAGACTGAGCCCGTGTTCAGCTGCCAAACCTTTGCGGCACATGGACACCTATTAAAAAACTGTAGAGATGGACAAAACCACCAAACCAAGTGGTCAGAGAAGAGACCCTGATACCGAATAACAATTCTAATATTCACATAAGTCACTCCAAGCAAATCGAAAAAATATATCACACATTGACACCTGAAAGTCTCACCAGGAGATGGAAGCAGCACATATGTAACTGAACCATTACGGAGTGTGATTGTTAAATTGGAGAGGACTCTTCTAGAATATTTTTGTGAATCAGAGGTATGATAGGTTGAGCATCTTTTGTGAGTAAGCGTGATATTTCGTGGATGTTCAGGCACAAGTTGAAGGTAGCCGTGAAGTCAAATGAACGTTTTTGGGATTAGGACAACTAGGGGCGTTTTTTTGTTTGTTTGTTTTCAACAATATTTTTCCTGCATTCCTAACTTTTTCTGTTGGAAAAGAGAGAAATTATTTTAGGAGTGATAACTTTTTGACACAAGTGCTTGTGTGAACACTTGACGCTGAACCAAAGCTTCTCTGTCTACGAAACCTGATATGCCCAGATCGGGCGAGAGGCCGAGGAGGGACGTTCACTTCCCTGAGACAGAGGAGACGCTGGACTGTGTACGAAGCACAGCAGAGAGATGGGTAGAGGGAAAATCAGATGAATGAAAATCTGTTGTTGCAACAGATGCATTTTTGTAGATGCTACTGTAAGATTTCCCCAGTTGCTGTGGGTGAGTTTGGCCGTTTTAGTTTTTTCTCTCTTTTAAAGACAAAAGGAGGAAAACAGAGTAAGCTGCTCTGTGGACATGAGCTCTTCCTGTACAGGCCTCTCTCATCTTTTTAAGTGGGAGAACTTGCACAATTGGTGGCTGACTAAATACTTTTTTGCCCCACTGTATGTGGGGGCGTGTTCGAACGAGCCGTTTTAGGTAGGTGTGGCTAACTCTTAACTTTTATAAAGAATATCTCTTTGGATTTGAGACTTTAGTCTTTGCAACTTTACAGATCTTCTTTATGCACCAAGAGCTTGTAACACTCTAAAGAGAAAGGAAAAAATGAAATCGCATCATATGACCCCTTTAAGAAACATTTACCAAGAAAACAGAATCAAAGGGCCTTGTTCCTGAAATGCGAGCAGAATGGGTTTTTGTGTAAATCGCTTGTAAAAACATTCGTACGTTTCAAAAATCTAGCAATGTTTATGTGAATTTCTAACTAGGGGTTAGGGCTGCACGATTAATCGAATGTGATTGTCATGCGTATCTTGCCAGTAAAGCCAGTTCTGTGATTAGTAGTAAATCTCCAGCACGTGCTTTCGGATGGAGCAGCATTTACTACACAGAGCCGTAGTTCACTGACAAGCTACGCAAAATCGCCTTCATAATCGCAGACGATTTAATCGCGTGATTATGAAATCAAAGAAATCGTTC